GAGGGGAGGGGAGGGGAGGACTCTTGCACATATTACCTCCCTCCTTTACATCTACTGTGCTATCAAGTTACAGTACTGTAACGTGTGTCTCCTTCCCGCTGTGTCTCCAGATCTCCATGCCCTGCCTGCTCCGTCCTCACTGCTCACCCATTCCTCTTCACCAGACCTAAAGCTCTTCAGCATCTCAGAGTGTCCACTCGGTGAAGCCCAGGGTGCTTCCCCTGCAGCGCCTGGGCCAGCCACCCCTCTCATCCTCCCCTCCACAGTCTGGGTGCTCTGAACTGAAACTTGCGGTCTCCCACATGCGCTGCCTCCTGGCTGCTCCTCCTGCGTGTTCCTTCTGATGGACCTTTCAGCCAGCAATGTTTGCCTATTAAAAGTCTCCCTTTGCTAAGTAGCAGCTTTCTTTCTCCCAGCCATTCTCTGCAGCTATGACTACCCTTGCCTTCACACATCCAAAATGCCCCCAAACTTTTGGAAAGACAAATAGTCTCTATAATGTAATTCAGTCTATACAAACACACACTAAAGAACTATGGGCACCCTAAAGGCACCGACTATAACTCTCATCTTTGTAGTCTCATGTAGTACCCTGCATATTGCCATGCATACAACAGGTACTCAGGGAATATTAGAGGAATTAATAAAAAGAATTATTATACATTTCAGTACATAGCATGAACAGAACTGGAGACACCAAGAAATATATTTTTTCTGAACCCTATTGGGGAAATGATCCCCTCTGACATAGAAAACTGTCACCTGGTAAATTCTAACTTGTGAGGTAGTCCCGGGACAAGTTGTCCCAAACGAGTCTTCCCATTTTGCTGGGAACGGGTCGTGTCCTCTCTTCCCACTCTCCATCCCAGGCCTCCAGGGGAAAGAGGCGCGTTCAAATACCCTGAGATAACTGTAAATATTCTTTCCATCTGCTTTAGTATGTCCAAGGATAATCTGGCTCAAATCACAAACCATGGAGACAGGGAATTATATGAAAATTGGAGTCCGCGTCGCAACAGAACAGATTCCAGGGCCTATATTTTTATTTACCCTCACTTAGAAGCGACAGAAAAGATCTAGGCAGTGAAGTCTACATAAATCAAAATTTAAGTGTGGGTCCTGTGCAAGCATAGAAAATCTAGGGCACTTTTTTGTTTGTATGCACCTAAATCTCCTTAAATTTAATTCATTTCTGTAAGAGTAAATTCTACCAGGTATGTAAGGTAAGAAAATCTAGGACAGCTATGGTAGTAAATTAATCTGAGAAGAATTATTTTATGTAATAAGTTATCATCATTAAGCATGAAACCAATAAATATTGAACTTTAGGTAGTACTTAGAATATCCAGAGTCAAAGTGCCCTGTAGCAGCACACAGCCTCCAATCCGATACATCTAAGGATACCAAAAAGCATTATTTCTCCAGGACAACTGGTTCTAAAAGTCTTTTGCCTTCATGTTATTAAGGACAGCTATAATACTATCTATAATTTATTGAACTTCTACTTCGTGTGACAAGCACTGTTTTCAAGTCCTCTTGATGACTACACATTTACATTGACAGAAGGTATTTTTCCTTACTTGAAAGATGAAGAACCTTAGAGAAATTAAATAATTTGCCCCAAGTGTGTGTTTGTGTGTTTGTGTGTGTGTCCACACTTATAACCACAGGAAAAATTATTTTATTAAATGTATCTTATGAAACAGCCTTGCTGTTCCATAGAAAAATTTCTTTCTTTCCGTGTCATGTTTCCACTTTTAAAGAACTTTTCATCCTGTCTTCCCAATGTTGACCAACAGAGTGACTGAGAGAGGAGAATAGGTTGGCAACAATCTATTTAGTCACATACACTGGAGTTTTCCCAAACTGCAGTCCATATTTCACCAGAAGAAATGATTTTAAGAGATACAGGAACAGAAAGAAATTATTTTTTTTATATATCTTTATTGATTTCAGAGAGAGGAAGGGAGAGGGGAGAGAGAGACAGAAACATCAATGATAAGAGTCATTGATCAGCTGCCTCCTGCACACCCCCTACTGGGGATGGAGCCCGCAACCCGGGCATGTGCCCTGACCAGGAATCGAACCTCCATCTCCTGGATCCTAGGTCAATGTTCAACCTCTGGGCAACACCGGCTGGGCAGGAATTTTTTTAATAAAATAATTCACTTTAATAAATCTTTTCTACTCTTTACTGACATAAATGTGATTTCAGGTCATATACAAATGTTTTTATTGCATACAGATATATTTATTTTATCATGTATTTAAAAAATTAACAAAAGCATCAGATCAATAAAATTACAGGACCACTAAGTTTTCTTTTTAAACTCATTTCAGTATAAAAAAAGTTATATTTCATTTTAAAACTGTACAAGTGCCTACATTAAAAAAATAAGAAGTGGCTTCGCAATGGATGAAAAACTAGTAAAGGCAACAGAAGCATGGCTCCTGGCATAGAATGCCTACTGTGTGTTTACACCAGGGAAGGAAGGGGGGACCTTTCTCCGCCTGTGTCCCATCCGTCCACACCAGGACTTACCTCTGGTGACAGCATCTAGCGCACAGCCGCACCCCGTTGCTCCCCCTCCAATGACAAGGACATCGAATTCAGACGTGTTCTGCAAAGTCAGTATCTGAGCTTCTCGGGAAGGAGGCTCCCTGTTCACGGGCTCTGAGACGTACTCTGCCGCCTCCACGTAGGCCAGGCTCATCTGAGGGAAAAGGAGACACTTCCAGCTGTTCATCTGGAATGCTCATTTAATACATTTTACAACATGCTAAAAGAGATTTGTAAGGAAGATAAGGGATACCCGGGCTAGGCCGCAGTTCACAGGCCACAGGCCACATGGAGCTATAGGACCGACTGCCTGGGGGAAGGGGCGTCCTTAAAATCTAGCTGCTTTATTTTCCCCCCCATGAATCACAACTATTGAGCCGTGAAACACTTGGTTTCAGATTCAGCCTCTCCACTGCTTGTTTTGGTTTCATATACAGACACGTTTAATTATTTCCCACACTGTACAGCAATTCCCAAATACCTTGTCTAAGAAAATTTATAGAGAACATAAGGATATGTTTTTATCCAGTAGCAGCAATTCGTTCAAATAACATTTAAAAGTTTTGGAGGGGGAAAAAATCACTTTATGACTTTCTGCAGTTTCTTAGAAGTATGTGCTCTTCATTCCTTAATTCCCCTGATAAAAATATATTCTAGAGTTTGGGGGTCTGTAAGTTTAAGTCAGTACAATTAAAAAGAATTCTGTTTAACACAAGTTTAAATAATCAGCTAAGGCCGATGGGAATGATACTTTTCAAGGATTTAAGTCAGAGGTTTACCCATTAAATGTTTTAATATAAAATTACAAATTTTATACATTTAAGATACACTATTTTGACTTTTGAAAGCTTTAACAATAATATAATTAAATCTAGCCACAGTCCCCCTAAAGAATAATGACCTTCTCTCATTAGAATATAATTTATCATCCTAAATCCAAAATGCTACTGGTCATTTAAAAAAAAAAAAAAAAAAAAA